TTAGTCAAACTGCCATCCGACTAAGTCCTGACAAGTTCCCCATTGCCACGTTACTCTAATTTAATTAATCTGTACCGTCGATGAATTCGATCGATTCGAATGCATTCAGGATAACTTTCGTGACTTAAATAACGGAAGTTAAATTAGTTACAGTGAAAAAATATGTACTACAACGTTGTTTTGTACCTGCGTACCCATTAATTCGTTAATTTTTATGAATTCGTGCACGCAATGTCTTTTATAATAACACAGTTGGAAAAATGAAACAATATTTGATTAGAGGTTCGCATAAAAGTAACCCCATTAAATATTTTTTTCAAGGGTTTAAAATACGCTCAGTATATCTCTCATTACCCCCTAGAAATAATTTTTAATCAAAAATTAAAATAATTGTGAAGAAATTAGAAATAATTAATGTACCTACTAATGTTGAAACTTCTCTATATCAGTTTTTATTACGATAACACAGTTTTTTGAACGATTTCACTGTTAAATGGAACGAAGCAAGCGCGATTACAATTTTCGATAACCAATTTTACGTCCCAAATTAACGACAAATATTTTATACCCGAGTTCCAATTATTTCCTCTCTTTTAGTACGTGGTTTATGTTCTCTGAAATAGGATCCCGAATTTAATTATTACTGTATCGAATTTCATTAGTTTTATGTTATCACTGCTCTCTCTTCATCGTTACCACTATATTGTTGACGCTGAAATTCTCGTAAATATAAAAATAGTACTTTAACTCGAATAAGCCTTATAAGAAAACTTTATAAAGTACATATATAGTCCTGGTAATATCGTTATATTATACATATTGTTCCTGTTACCATTTTAAATGATGAAATACTGCTTATTTCAAGCCCATGGCGATATCGTATGGCGTATATATTTTTTTTTTACAGCTATTCTTTATTATGGCGAAGTGCCAAGTTAAGTACCTCTTTTGATTATATTTTACACACGTTTCCTCTGGGATACAAGGGTTTATCCCCAGCACTAAAGAAGTTATGGCCTAAAAAAGTACGCCGTAATATCTTGGCGAGATATTATTGGTTTGTTGCTAGGGAACGGCCTCTGCTAAACTTGGCAAAAAATTAAGGGAGCAGAAATTTTTTTTAGTGATTTTTGAAAGGTTGTAATTTTGTGAATAATGGTCGTATCGAAAAAAAAAGAAAAGCGCCTTAAAGCTTGAAGCTTCTAGTTTTGAAATCTTGACATCTTGGCGCAATCAAAAGAAATAGTGCAGGGCAAAAATTTTACAATTATTTTTCAATGCCCATGGGCCCAGGAAATTTTTTCTGGCTTAATCAATGCCAGGGTCATTTAGCTTGATTTCTCAGCTTCAATTTGGTTTTTTATATTTTCTGTACGATTTTTCCTCGTTGAGATATCGGCTATTGAGTGAAAAGTCACCTGCTTTTTATCATTGATATAAAAAAAATTATACCCAATATTAATTTGAAAAAGTGTAAAAAATTACTTTTTGTGCGGTTTTGGAAAATCAACGACTACTTTGCAAATATTGCGAATATTACTAATGTTTGTAGTTTTTTTTTAGCATCAAATATCGAAAAAAAAAAAAACGTTTCAAACTATTGAAAAAAAATTCGATTTTGAAACAAAAACATATTTTTCCTTTGCGTTATTATCTTTTTTACATTGAAATATCGAAAACAATTTTTTTTTTAATTTAAAAAAGCACGTATGATGTTTAACCATAGCAATTTTTAACATTTTTAATAATAATTGTAAAAAATCGAACGAGTTCTACAAACATATATTTTTTTCATTTTACCTTAAGCTTTCAATATTTATACAGTGAAGTTGGTTTATGTTCATATTAACATACTCAAGAACGCCATCTGATGAAAGAATTTTAATCAAACATATGGAAACAGTAAGATCTTTCTATATTCACTCTTTTTACATTTTGATCTTTGACAAGGGTGGCATTGAAACAAAAAAAATACAAGATATTTCAATGCTAGTTGTGGCATGTCGCATGTGGTAGGTGTCTCCCGCATACAGGGTGTCCAATACTTCGTGTACATAGACCTACCACAGCTTCCTTGCTGCCATCTTGTGGCTGAACGAAGCTATTTTTGACAGAGGGAAACTGTTGTGTTTCCAAGTACAAGAAATACTTTTGGAATCGAAGAATCAAGGATTTTTTTAGGAAAAACTTTTGTGTTAATTTAAAGCCCTATACACTTGTATCTTAAACTAGTACTAATACACCAGGCAAATAAAATTTTTACTCAAACAAATTCCTATCCGCGAGATTATTGTAAAATTGTCTAAAGGAACATTATACAAGACATATCTCATCTCGTGAGTCAAAAAATTTTAATAGCTAACTTTTGTATTTAAACAAACTAGTGAGGACAACAGTTTTTTCATTTTGCAGGGAAAATCATCAATTTTAGCGAAAAGTGACTCACAGACAACTTGTAGGGAATAAAATTATCTACAAAATGAATGCTTTAAAAAAATGTATTTTTTTGCCAGCTATCCATTGAATCTATTTTCGGTGAGGTACCATAAATAGCAACAATTTTATTCAAATTGTTTTTAAGCGAAAAACGCACGATTTTCTAATGGACAATTTGAGAATGTTAATGTTAAAAAAACGGTGATATTTTTAATAGGTCGCTTAATTACGTCTTTAAGATTACAATGACGCTTTCAGAATCATGTTTGGTTGAAAATTAACGCCTGTACAGAGGCTTAAAGTTCATAACTTTTGGAGCCTCCGTTATAAACTATTGTGCGAAAACTATTGCACCTACAGCTCCCACTTTTGGCACACTTTTAAAGTATGACAAAACTCTCAACTTTTCATAGGTTTTATAAAATTTTAACAATAAATGCGATAGTTATAAACAAATTAAAAAATGGGTACAAATTCTTGTATTTTTGTAATAACTTTTTTGTTTATTAACCGATTTTAATTCAACAAGTCTCATTTTGTAGATAATTTTATTCCCTACAAGATGTCTGTACCTATCTGTATTTTATATTTCACGATTTTCTGGCAGAATGTAACAGGCAATGTAGTGCGCCTCGAATCAATAGATATTTGGCAACACTGTGAGAAATTATTAACTTCGCGATAGCAACTGTTGCGGAAATATTTGTCTTGAAATGTGAACGATGGAAAATTGTATTTAAATATTATATTAATTGAAAAAAAACCATACCTCATCAGGGATCGAACCCCGAACCTTTAGATTACCAGGACAACGCGTTACGCTTTAAGCCACAAGACCACATGTATTTAGTTTCGAAAATCTGGCTTATATCCTTAACGTTGTGCCTCTTGTGATATAAACAATAATTATAATGATTATTTTTTGACGTTTCTTAAAACCAATGAAATGCTTCTTTATTTGTCACAAGGGTATGTTTCAGGCAATTATGTCATTATTATAGTGGGAATAAATCTCTTGTGATTATTCTCGGGAATAATCACTGTGGCTTTTATTTGCGTAGCAAGTGTCAGATAGTTGTCAAAATAATTACCTAATTGTGTCAACGCGATATATAAAATGGGAGAAAATTATCGGTTTAGTACCTTTTCTGATGCAGAAATAACAAAAAAGATTGTAGAAACTACTTCGAAAAATTACTCTAATAAGTAATCAGTCTATATGGAGACAATTTAAGACCTTCACCAAAGAAAGAAATTATATTCTGGATCAATCTACTACAACAGCTACTCTGGCATTGATTTTGAAAGATTGGGCTTATAACATGAAAGAAGCAGTAATAAAGACAATGTGGAATAAAACGGCAAAATTAGTTCAAGAACTTTACTTTAATAAGTATAACAGGTCCTTTGATCCTTTCCATGATATAGAATTCAAAAATGCTCGAAATGCAAGAGATGCAAAAAGAAAAATTTTACAAAAACATCCTGAAAAGCACAAACAAAGTTCTGTGGCACTTTCTAATACAGAATTGTTGCAAATTTTTAACTATTGGGACGAAGATACACCTTGTGGATTGCAAAGAAAGTTTTTTCACGTTGCATCGTATGAACTAGCTTGGAGGGGAGGAGAAGCTACGAAATGTTTAGTTCATTATTTTAAAAAAGAAACCGACATAATAAGATTAAATACTGGCCGCATTGAATACCTACAATCCCATCTTTACAAAAACTGCACAGGGTGGAGTACAAAGATGCGCTAATAGTAAATGGTTGACTCTAAACATAAATAACCCAGAATAAATAATGACTCTCGAAATATTTTTAATAATTGCGTTTTTCATTGTACTAATTTAAATTGTTAATTCTTTTAAAATATTCACAATGTGTCAACGATATTTTCGTATATTGTAATAATTAATTAAATTAAATTTTTCAATAGTTTTATGATGGTTTTATTGATCTTTTTTATTGTAAAAATTTGTGAATCAAAAAATAATGTAGTCAAATATAACTCGCGAGTTCCATAAATTAGAAAATAATTTGACAGATTTTGTTCAAACTTGTTGCCATTTGGAAATAGCTACTCGAGCCCTGCGGGCTCTCGTGACTATTGCCTGGCAACAAGTTTTCAAAAAATCTGTCAAATTATTTTCAATTTATTCTCACTCTCTTGTTATATTATTACTGAATATATTGGCAGACGGCTGGATACCAGTAATAATATTATTGGCATATTTTGAAGAATTATCAAGAACGATAAAAAATAAATTGTAGCATATTTAAAAAAGACCTATTTATCTGTCAGTTTAGAGAAAGTATAGTGCTGTAGTAAAATATTTACCATGGTAATGATTTATACATTCGTGAAAAAACTGTTTTCCTCGCTTATTTGTTTAAATAGAAAAGTTAGCTAATAAAATTTTTTGACTCACGAGATGAGAGATGTCTGGTATTATGTTCCTTTAGACAATTTTACAATAATCCCGCGGATAGGAATTTGTTCGAGTTTCTCTTTTTTTTTTCGCTAATTTTCCCGGTCTATAAGATATTTTCTTCAATTTCAGGTAACACCTTCGTCGTGAACGTAGCGTTAGCAGACGTCCTGGTCTCAGGACTAGTAGTTCCAGCGTCGGCGGTGGTGATCCTGGCCGGACTGAAAGACAACCTCGCCGTGTGCAGATTCCAGTGGTTCATCGCCGTACTGTGCTTCCTAGTGACGGTGCTCTCAATGGCCGCCGTCGCCACGGAGAACTACTTCCGCCTATGCTACTCCCCCAACTTCTACGAGAGACTGACCAGGGGGAAGATAACGGCGTTGCTCCTAACGCTGTGGGCCGTCTGCGCCTGTGTCTCGGGCATGCAGTTCGCTCCGGACCTGTCCTTCGACTACTGCACCAGGAAGTACCCCGGGCTGATCCCCTACCAGGCCACCGTGTGCGTGGTGCTGGTGTTCCTGCCCATGATCCTCACGTTCTTCTGCTACGTGAGGGCGGGGTACCAAGTGCGTAGGTTCAAGGGCAGGCCCAGCTTCAAAGCCCCCATCACCTTCAACTGGGACTACGCCCTGATGCAGGCCAACATGTACAGCTTCGTCCTCTTCATAGTGTTCTGGCTGCCGTTCGGGGTGGTGCTCGCGGTAGGTACGGTCCGGAGGATCCCCGATAGTTTGTTTTACAACCTGGCCTGGTTGGCGATAAGCAAGTCTTGCATCAACAGCATCCTCTACTGCGTATCGAATCGGCACTTCCGCGGCGCTTACGTCAATCTGTTTCACTACTGTTGTTGCAAGACTACAGTCTCGTTCTCCAGGAGGCAGAGGCCCGAGTGCGTTCGGCCTTCTGGGGACGTGAGGGTGCACATTATTCCGGGGTATAACATGTACTGCAGCCCGCAGAGGAGTCGCGAGACGCAGAGCAAAAGGTGCTCTACGAGGCTCAACGGTCGGGACATATACGAGTTATGATGAGACGATTCTTACACCGCCAGTAGAGGTGTTTGGATTTAGGAAATCTTTAATTTGTTGGGTTGCGCGCTTTTCCTGAGCGTTTGGTTTGTTGGTGGTGGGTAAGCGCGATGGTACTTGCCTATTGAAGCAAATATGACGTTTTCATCACAATTACGCTGTCCTATAATGATGACACTTTAATTCTGTTTTTCGTGACAATTAGAAATTTTCAAAAACGCCGCTACAATCTGAAAAGTCTTTAACTTTCAGTCTTAGTACACTTTTCCTATCCCCATTAAAACTAATTTAACCATGCACTGTTTACAAACTTGGAGGGAAAGAGCAAATAAAAGGAGCCGCTAGGACTCGATTGGTGCAATATTTATTTCGAATAAACTAGTGGAAAAAATTAATTAAGGGATCCAAAAGAATCTAAATTTTCGACGATTTTTCAAATGGCAGTATCTTTGATAAAAATGGTCGTATTGGATTAAAAAAAAAGCAATTTGAAGCTTGAAGTTTCTAATTTTTGGATCTTGCAAAAATAAAAAATTTCAAGTAACACGTATCGCGCAATCTAAATGAATATGATGAAAAAAAATTTTTCGAAATTCTTTTCGATCTTATTTTTGGTGTACGGACTTGAAAAAAATTTCCGAGCATCGGACTTTGAATGAATTTTCTCTTTGTTCATCGATATCTCAGAAACCAATGGTTGCACATAAAATCGACGGTGGGTTTCAGAAACTTGAATGAATTTTTACGACACGGTTTTTTAGAAATTTTTTTTTATCGTTGACATGACTGAAAAATCGTAAAAAATAGGACTTTTAGAGGTCTTCTAGAAAATCACGTGCCACATTGAGAATATTGGGAAAATGACTAATGTTAAGTGTGCCTTTTACAGGTCATTGTATCCCTAAAAGCCCTACAGAGTTTCAATTCGATCCATCAAGCCGTTTTTTTGTTTCATTCGATTAAATTTTAAAAAAAATTAAAGGATCACGTTTTCTTGCCTTTAAATGCTCATAATCTGTAAAAATTTTTTTATATTCATATTGCAGGAAGAGTGAAATTATGAAAAAAAAATTTTTTTTGGAAAATTTTTTCGAAAAAAATTTTTTTTTTTAATTTTCGAAAAATAATTTTTTTAAAAATTTTCGAAACATAATTTTTTTGAAAAATTTTTCCGAAAAAAAATTTTTTTGAAAAATTTTTCCGAAAAAAAATTTTTGAAAAATTTAAAAAAAAAAAAATTTTTTTTAACCGATTTTCAGAAATTTCACAAAACCGCTGGCATTAGCGTTACCCAAAGCGTACCACGTGGAGGTTGTACGGTCGGATTTACTCTTCTTTTTTTGCAAGAGCCAAAAATTAAAAACTTCAAGTTTCAAATTGCTTTTTTCAAAGATAGAGCCATTTGAAAAATCGCCGAAAATTTAGATCTTTTTTTGATCCCTTAATTTTTTCCACTGGTTTGGAATACTTTTTTAATATCTACGGACGTACCACAATGATACGAAGAAAACTTTTCGGAGCAGCTCGACCCCATCGATACACATCATATTTTTACTACACTTTCGAATGATTTTTATATTATTTGCTTCAATATGGCAAGAAAATTAATAGCGAAGAATAGCGTGAAATGTACGTAACCCAACATTCCTGACAAAAGAACAAAACATATAACTAACAAATTATTTTTTTGATGTGCTTTCATCGCATAGTATTACTACGTGTGCACAATTGTTTTACTTTTCATTCCATTACAGTATTATGTATTGTCACAAGAATATGTACAACTTTTGAAATAATGCGAGAGCGTCACAAAACATTCCTTCCATTGCTGAAAAGCTGAAAAAAATATAAAGGTGAAATAAGTTAAATCGGGTTTTTATCAATAAAATCCAAATCGTATTGTATTTTTTTTTTAAATAACCCGCTATTTTTTTTCTTGATTCCGAAAGATCGTTTCATTGTCGATCCGACAGTATTAAAATGTTGCCATCTTACATAGGAAAGTTTTCGAGTAAATGACGATTGAATGTTAGAAAACCCAAATCGATTAAAATAAAGCAGAAACGTTATCAAATTTAGTTTTTCGAAATGTCTGAAGTTTTGTATGGATCACGTGGGTGTAAATCTTTACAAAGTGTCATTGTCATACCCACTTTCTAAGTATTGGCGCTTACTGTATCTATTTATGTTGTTTTCAAGACTGATTTTTTTGATAAAAGCCTGATCAACAGCGAATTTTAGAGGTTGCCGAAACATTCTCCTTTACAGCTACAGATATAGGGTGTTTCACAGATTTGTACCTGGCTTAACTTTCGGAAACTTCTGAGAAATCATTTCGAGTCCCAGATATCGATTTATGGTTATTATTTATTCAAATTATAACCGAACATATTTGACGCGAGCGATAATAATTGTCTATTATTCCCGAGACTAAGAGATAACTCGCGCGATTTTGCTACCACGTTCCTCCATTCTCATTCAACCAGATTATTTTCCACAAAAGGGAACCGATAAACATCACGTCCAAAGTTTGTGTTTGACAGTGGAATTGTTCCTAGAATAACGATATATACAAGGTGTCCCAGATATAAACGCTAAAACGTTTAACTCGTCCAAAGCAACGACTTTTGTTGTTTTGAATTTTTTTGGGCATCACTCTCGGCGGAATCAAAAGAGATAATTCATGGCAAAAATTTTACAATTTTTGTTTTCAAAACCGCGCATGGGCTCAGAATTTTTTTTTCTGGCTTAATTAAAGTCAGGGTCATTTAGCATGATTCATCAGCTTCAATTTGATTTTTTGTTATTTTCTGTACGATTTTTTCTCGTTCTTTATAAAATAACACAGTTGGAAAAATGAAACAATATTTGATAAGAGGTTCGTATAAAAGTAACCCCATTAAATATTTTTTGTCAAAGGTTTAAAATACACTCAGTATAACTCTCATTACCGCCTAGAATTAATTTATAATCAGATTAAAAAAATTTAAAATTCATTGCGAAGTAAGTAGTTAGAAATAATTAATGTACTGATGTTGAAACTTCTCTACATCATTTTTTATTACGATAACCCAGTTTTTTAACGATTTGACTGTTAAATGCAACAAATCAAGCGCGATTACAATTTTCGATAACCAATTTTACGTCCCAAATTATTGGGCCCAAGAAATTTTTTCTGGCTTAATCAATGCCAGGCTCATTTAACTTGATTTCTCAGCTTCAATTTTTTTTTATATTTTCTCTACTATTATTTCTCATTGAGATATCGGATATTGAGTGAAAAGTCACCTTGTTTTTTTTTTGAACAGAAGGTGGATTTTAGGAACCTAAATCAATACCTTTCAAGGACCTTTAAGAAAAAGGAACGTTTAAGAAAAGGAAAGGAAAAGGAAAAGGAAACGGAAAAAAGGACGTTTAAGAAAAAAAAATACTCGAAATTAATTTGAAAAAGTGCAAACACATAACTTTTTCTGCTGGTTTGGAAAATCAACTATTACTTTGCAAATACATACGCGAAAAGTGTCAATATTTGTAGGTTTTTTTTTAGCTCGATATATGCCCATGGGACCTGTAAATTTTGAAATCGATCGGTAGAACAGTTTTCCTTCTATAAAAAATTAAAGGAACAGGTTTATTGCTCCTTACACATTAATTAATGATTAAAATGAAACAATTTTTGTTTACGTTATTTTTCTCACCATTTCGCGTTAAATATTCATCAAATATCGAAAAAAAAATTCAATTTTGAAAAAACAAATTTTCAAAATTTGTTTTTAATTTTACATTGAATATTGTATTGCATTGCAGTAATTATTAAAAACTAACAAGGAGAAGGTAAGGTAGTCGGATTTTTGTAATTTTTGATATTTATGGTACGTGTAGTTTGGACCTTGAATAAGAATTTTCCGAAGTAGTTCGACGCAACGTTCGTAAATTACCGAGATAATCGATTTTGAAGTTTTACCTGCCAGCTAAATCCACTAGATGCGACGCATTGTCTGACTGGGAGCGTGGTCTAATTGGTAGCGTTCGGGACTGACAGTCATGAGGTCTGTGGTTCGAGTCCGTCGCGTGAAATATTTTTTTTTTTTTCAAAACGCACCAAATGGTTTTTTATTATTTTTTTTTATCTCGAAAATTATGAACAAACGAAATATTATAATAAGTACTTATGTATATGTAGAAATATTCTTCAAATATTTCATTAAAATGCACAATTGGTTGATAAACAATATGAATTAAGGATGTTCGATACATCTCTTGCGGGGTATTCGGTGCGGGAGGGAAATCTATGCTTATACACATACACATATTAGCTTGCATATATTTTTCGTGTTTAATGCACGGCAATTAACTTTTTATTTGAATAAAAGTGTCTATTGATTCATTAAGAGCTTGTAAAATTATCGATGAAATCTGGCAACATTGTTATGGCGTGGTGGTAAAAGTTGGGTCAACTGTCATTACTGTCAATTTTGCGCTTATTCCGTAAACATGAATGAACATCCAAGGTACAAAGGAAAAGTGATGACTGAAAAGTAATATAAAATGCGTATGAAACAGAATGTGGGTTGATGAGAAAAAAGTAAAATGTGCAAACCGAGAATCCATATGATAACTATCAAGAAGTTCAGTGTATGATAGGGAGACGTCGCCTTGTCAAATTGAATATTATGACAGAACATCTATACTGTTCGTTTTGCAACGAGATCCTTTCAATTTTTGTTTCAAATTGCTATTATATTGCATTAGATCACGAAAAATGTATTTAATATTAATTATTACTAGGTAAATATGTTTTCGACTGGAATAATTTTGTAGTCTATAATCGAGCTGTTCAAATATAGCGCATCAGTCGAAGCTTAAATACAACGTACAGTGTTGCCATATTTCCTTTCATTGGATCAGATGTTTGTTCGAATTTGTGAAAACGTTATATATTCATTCCATTATCTTAACAATTACATTGTAAGTGCATATTTTTATTGTTTTAAAATGTT